CTTTTTTTATTATATATATATATATATATATATATTTTTTTTTTTATAATAGTGGCGTTATGGCCTATATCGACACACAGTCGCTATAGGCCATAGCGCCACTTATTTTCACGTTTTTATTTTTTAAAATTATCAACTATATTATTTTTTTAAATTCTTTTATTTTACATTATCATATAAATTTTAATTACTATTTTATAAATTTATTTTTCCATTATTTTATTTATTTAATATATTTTTTGATTTCTTTGTGTTTTAAAATGAAAATATGGGGCGCTATGGGCTGTAGCGACTTTATTCAAGCTGTGTGTGTCGCTATGGGCTGCAACAACTTGGTTAATATGGCTTTCATGGCTTATCTGGAGTTATAAAAATTCCACGTGGCATGGGTGTCGCTATGGGCCATAGCGACACCGTTGTAGACAGCCCCAAAGACGTAAATACTTTCAAAGTATCCCCATTTACGTAAATAAGTTGGTCAACGACCCCACTTTAGTCAAAAGTCTAACGTGTAATGAACAAAAAGCTGTTGAAAAATAAAATTGAAATCATTACAAAGTTAAACATAGTAATTATATATATATGTGTGGGGGAGAGGTTTAACCCTTTCTCTTAATATAAAAAATCTTCTCTAAATCAAACTTTTATTAATATATATTTAAAAATTTTAACTATTTACTAATTGAGTTAGATATAATTAATTGTAAATCAAAATTATTAAAAAATAGTTTAATATTTATATTTTTTAATTAAAAATTAAGATTTGATCTTTAGTTTTATTTTGTATATGAAGTCACGATTGAAAGTATTACTTATTCTTAAAAGACTAACTCACAAATATTACTTTATTCTTAAATGACTAACTCACAAATATATTATAAAGGAACAATATCTCCTTATAAAAATAACAACACTTGTCAATTATAACATTATTTGGAAGCAAACATTTATCTTTACATATTGTTCCGGGCTAATACATTGATCTCATTTCATTCGAGACCCTTCCTTATAGTGTATGTGTATATAATAACCCATAATTTATACTCATCCAATATATATCATGTTTCTTGTTTGACCTTTTTGTCCTGACAATTGTCCCTTAGATGAGTTTGTAAAGGAAAGTACATGAAGCAAAGTTATGATAATGTGAGCGTAACAGTAAAATGCAGTGATGTAAAACGCGCGAAACAGGGAAGAGTCATTGTTTGGTTTTAATTTTTAGGTTTAGGACAAAAAAGAAAAGGGTACACAGTTACACAATAACACACATTTTGTGATTAATAATTACTACTATTATAGCTTTCTATTGCTGCCTCCAGTCCCACCCGACACTGAATCTATACGCAAATATTCATCAGTTTTTTTTTTTTTTTTTTTTCCTTTTGGTACAATATCTCACTCTGTTGCATATCAATCTAACAAGATCTCAAGACACATTAAAGAAAAAAGCATTCATCTCTGACTCTCTTGCAACTTGCATTATTTTTTCTCTTTTTCGACGATTACTTTAGTGGACCTCTACTTTGACAGAAATAGGGGGAGAAAAATAGTAAAATAAATAAATAAATAGTAAAAAAGGATGCGGTGAGCGTGGATCGAACACGCGACCTTCAGATCTTCAGTCTGACGCTCTCCCAACTGAGCTATCCCCGCTGATGACATTGGGTTGTTTTTCATGATAAAGATTTAGATATTTTTGAAGAGAGAATATGAAAATCTATAAATTTGGATATGATACAAATTTTCATGAAATTAATTGGAAATCTATAATCACATTTTTAAATAAATTATGTCCGAATAAATATATTAAGATGTCATGTAAGAGGTATTGATTTTAATTTAGGAGAAAATGTTTTTTTTTTTTAAAGACAAGAAATATTACAGAGATGATCGTAATGAGGATTGAACCTAGGTTTTCATGCTTCAAACTACCTCAACCCCTTCCCACTAGGCTAACCCTAGGGATCAGGTGAAAATGTTATTTAAGTTTAAATATGATATATATGTTATTCAATTTGGAACTCATTTATTTCTAAATGTCATTTATTCAGATAAAATTTAAGCATGAATTATTTGAAAATCTTCCTGAATTCAATAAATTTTCTTATTTAGACAAAATCTTATAATATTACTATTATTTTTGTATAAAACTTGTACCATAAAATTATTTTAAAATTTTATATTTGTTTGTGGATTTCAATATTTAATCTTGTTAACCTATATATAAGTGTAGACTCATTAATTTATTCAAAATTTGGATTATTCTTTTTAAAACATCATTTTTCAAGTTATTTGTAACTTTTACCGTTTTCTTTCAATTTTTTCTTTTAACTTTTACACATTGTAAAAAAATTTCCATTAAGAGTTTTTATTTATTTATTTTTGTTTTACTGTTTCATAAATTTGAAAATTATTTATATTTTATTATTTTCAATATTTTTAAATTTATGTTATATCAATCACACTAAATCATATTTTTATACTTTATAGTTTTTATTTTGATTTATCATTTTGATATTTTCTAACCTCTATTATAAGTTCATATTTTTTTATCTGTAATATTGATTATTTCTTTCACATTATTTTTACTATTTTCTCTTAATTTTTGCAACTTATTATATTTAAAATGTTTTCAAAGGGGGAGGAATTGAATGAAGAGAAATTTTATCTCTCCCTTTTATCTTAAAATTCAACCAAACATTACCGTTAAAGTAAACCCACACTTGAAAAACAATTTTTCACAATGCAAACCAGTAATACGAGAACAATAATAAAAAGAAAGCAGTTTAAAACAAAAGCTTATATTGAAAAAAAAAGAAAGATTATAAACATATTTTTCTATTAAAAAAGTTTTTTTCAGACTTATTTTCAAACAGAATATTGTTTAATTCTGTTAAATCAAATACTAAATTGAATGAAAAGGAAAATTTGTTACAAATTTTATTAAATTTAAAATATTATTTTTAGTTTCAAAATAGCATTTTAACATATGCAATACACTATATTAATTTTTCATATAAAAATTTGAGTTATTTACATTTCCAAAAACATCTCTTAATAAAATTACCTCGTTCTAATTCATGATTCACATTAAATTTCAACAATTAAACTGCTCAAGTTAAAAATTCTTATTTAATAAATTTTTATAAAATTTGAAAATTATTTATTACTTTATTACATTAATTCAATTGATGTATAATATAATTTTATAAATATACATCAATTTGATTATAAACCTAATCAAGTTCGGAAATTTCCTTTCTTCAAACTGCAAAAATATTTCAATTAAAAGGATGAAACTCGGAAGAATTGATGAAGTATTTAGGAAATGTGTATTTCCAAAGCAGATACCCAAGATCAACGGTGAATACATTATCTGCAGCTTATACTCAACAAGTTTCCAATCAATAGATATCGATAGGTAAAAGAGACTTAAATTTTGCCAAACATCATTCATTGAGCTATGCGTTCTCACTTTTGACTATCCTTTTGAAGGCGTGAGTATGAGAGATTGTAAATTGAATGCAGCTAAAAGGAGTGTATGGTACAATGCCTCATAAAAGGTGAGGAAGAAAATCGCATAATTCAAAAGGAACCTTCCTAAACTAATGTTCCTTTTGCATTTACGAACAAAAAGTTAAATACAGGCAAAATTCCATAGTAAATGTTCACAAGTAATGAATTTGGGAAACTGTCTTCCAATTCTTGGTAAATAAGAGATTCAATGGAAGACAACCAAACCAAGACCACTGAACTCAAATGTCATCACAACAGATACTTCTCAACCACAGTCCTGCCAAACTTCTCTTGGACATCCCTTGGCGTTTCAATCTGGAACAAACGAGAAATGCCACATGAGATATCAGAGGGAAAAGTTGTTAAAAATACTTGAATTGCAACATCAGCAAGGTCAGTAACTAACCGCATTAAGTGCTTTGAAGACGGCCTTAACTGTATTATGAGGATTTCTGGAACCAATGACCTATCAAGACCAAAAAAAATTAGAGCAAACGCTTAAATTGCAAGACCATGTTCAATTTTTTTAGGCATCAGTTACCTTCGACTTGACATTCTTTAAACCAGCTAAATGCAGAATGGATTCGACTGTTCTGCCAGCTTTCATGCCAGTTGTAGTACGAGCAGGCCACAGATACACCTATGGAATACAATGCAGATGGCATGAAATCCATAATATAGTATACAAGATGAATACAAGCAGTAAAAACTCGCTTATTACTCATCTCAGGCAAGTAAAACAAAACATTTCAATTTTTACAATAGAAGATGAACTTTCATGAGATAAATGGGGGAAGTACTACTAGAAGAAGGATAAGAAATTGAATACCTTGGTCTTTTTATAAGACGTTTGTACTGCATGTGCAATTGTATGCTCCTCATGTCGCTCAACGTAATGCAAATTCTGAAAGCATTTCTCGTACGCCTGAATGCCGTCAAATCAAAACCATTAATTCTATATTCTATCAGAAGTCTAAAATATTAAACTGCATCAAACATAATGCACATAACTTTTTTATCGAGATAAAATAAATATACTTTTATACTGATACTACTTGTTTTAGCAATATTTTAAATGCATACTCAAAAAGACCATGTCATACAAAATTTGAAACATTCAATATTTGAATTTCAGATTACATGTAAAGTAAATGCATTTAGATAGTATTTGCTTGGGGGAAATGGAGGGGAAGGGAGAGAGCTTTATAAACTTTTGTTGACTGGTTCAATTTTTAAAAGGGATGGAAAGGAAATGGAGGGGATTTAAAATATTATGAGATAATCTTTGAAATACCCTTACTTATATTTTGAAATTCAAAATTATAAGGATACAAAGATAAATTAGTTTTAAAAATCCCCTCACCCCCCTCCTTTTAACCAACAGCCCTCCTTTTAACCAACAGAATTTTTAATAAAAATCCCTCTGTTTCCTTCCCTCCTTTGAACCAAATAGTTCCTTAGTGACCAATAAAAACAATTATTGCATAGTTGATAGAGAATGTACAATAACAACATACCAATATCTGGTTTTCAGCTAGACTAGAAAGATAAAAAACCAGTTAGTGCACCTTCTGCAACTCATTATGAACAATATAATGAAAAAGGGAAATTATTGGGGTACTCTTTATAATAATAAAACCTGGTATGTTAATGAAATTAGTATCAAGCTTATTGAAACACAGAAAATTTGAAAGAAATTTTTGTATGAAGGTTGATCAATGAGATGAGTAAGGTTTGTGGTATCATTATGCAGATGTTTTCTATTCAACATTTCTAATGAAAGATCAGAACTCAGTCATCAAATAATTATGACCAAAATATTTCAAGGATTAACCATAAGTTATGTCACTTCAACATCAGAACGTTGGCCAAAGAACAGAGCCCAGCCAGTATAACTGGCAACAAATAACTCAAGATTTGTGACATAAATCAAAACTTCAATAAGCTTGAAACTACTAGTTATTGAAACAAAAGCAAATCTATATATATATATATATAAATGTCTGGCTGTGAAATTGTGAAACTTTTCTACATTGAACACGGAACAATTGGAAACAATCCACTACCAGAATCACTTTAAGGAGAACTTTAAAGACGTAATAAGATATGGTGTATACCTTCTGAAGGGCAACGGGGACTGCAGGGCCTTTGGCTTTTGCAAAACCAATAACACCATTATAGTTGCCACAAGCTACCATAGCAGTATACTTAACAACTTGTCCTCCCTAGATCAAGAGATTCAAAACAAACTAAGATCATACAAAAGACAGAAGAGGGAAAGCACAGCAGAAAGCACAGATTTATCAAATACCTTGGTGACTTTACAAGTTCGGTTCATGTCTATCAATCTTGTATCAAAACCCTTGTAACATGTACAAAAAACCAAACAAAAACAAATCATAAGTCAGCTTTATTAGAAGCAAAACAAGAATATGGGAGCAAACTCGGAATTATTGAATATTATTATTGTTACTTGTTTAAACTTGGAAGGTTCTCACTTGGTAAGATTTGTCACTAGTATCAGTTTATTTTACTATCACTTCACCCCATCTAAGGCTATGCTTGGATAAAAGTTGGAAATGTGCTTTTGGGAATTTCAATGCCCATTCTCAAATTCCAAAGCACAAAATGAAGAAGGAAAAGTTTGTTGCTTTGGGAGTAAAAATACTTCTAGGCTCCTCCAACCAACTGATATCCAAACATGCACTAATTCCTCCCACAAATTACAAAACCAAACATACCATTAAGTCAACTAATTTATTCACGAGGCTAAGAAATTGTTCTTAGTTGGTCAAAGAGTCACAGGTTGGGAAGTGCCTTGCAAATTTTTGTTTCATACTTTTAACTGAAATGAATAAAGATAATGAAGTTTTCTTTCTATAAGAAGTACAATAAAGGTCACTAGGCTAATAAGTAAAACAAAAGGCAATGATAAGAGTTTGGCATGGTGGATGCACGTATATAAAAGAGTAAGCTCCTATTAAGTGAATTCATCTATAAAATGAGCCAGTAACAGTGTATTCACCCTTGGTGCATTTTGATCTTAATCTACTAAAAATCAAGAATTGATACACTCTTTGCTTGCTCACTTCAAAGAACACTCGGACATAAATGAAGGAAGGTGAGTAATTGAGTATGATTAATAGTAGGTAAAAAATTATTCGGTCCAAAATGCAATGACAAATAGTGTGTTTGGTTCCATATCCAAAATGTGGTTTTTCATGTTTACTAAAATAATTAATAGTTAATAGCGTGTCTGGGAACAAGTTTTGGACATGAAAAATCACATCAATATGTAGCTTCCACATCTTCTATGAATTGAGTGAAACTATGGATTAAACATACATTGGGCTTATTTGGATAAATTTATCCAAAAATACTTTCAAGAGAGAAAAATATGAAGGAAAAATGAAATAGGTTTCTCTATAAGTTAAAATTAGCTTATATGCATAAACTAATTCGTATAACATTTCTCATTAAGTTCTTCAAAATCTTTTTTTTAACTTACATATAAGCTAATTTTAGCTTACACTGAAGCTTATTTTGATTTTCCTTCCGGTTTTTCTTTCTTAAAAGTGTTTCTGAAAAAATTTATCCAAACAGACCCATTACTGAATAGATTCCAAACACACTAATAGCCTCTACATCCTACTCGTGATTTCTTACTTCTAAACACACTAAAAACCAGAGAATTATGCAAGCATGAAACTACCTTCCGGTAAAGCGGCTTCCGTTTCTTCTCAGTCAACTCGTTTCTCTCCTCAGCAAGATCCTTGATCTCTTCCTCGAGGGCCTTCCCCTTCCTCCCAAACGTATACTCGAGCTCCGCCAACTTCTCCTCAAGCTTCCTATCAATAGCATCAAGCTTGGCCAGCAGTATATTATCCTTCTCCTTCATGTCATCAAACTCCTCCTCCTCCTCCTTCTCACCACCACCATCTCCTTCCCCAATCAGTTTCTCCTTCTCCAACTCAGCCTCTTCCTTCGCATCGGCGGGAGCCGCAGCATCCGGCTGCTCCCCCTGAATGACACCATAATTGGCAGGGTTATCAGGATCATAAGCCTCCTTCCACCTTACCAGCCTCAACGCCCTATTAAGCTTGTTCTGAAGAACAAACTTGTCCTTGATTTCAGTGGCGACCTTGAGGCGGTTCAGGAGCTCGCCAATGACACGATACTCGGGGCGGAGGCGGAAGTGCTTGTGCTCGAATTTGTCGATTTTGGCCATCCACTTGAAGGCGTCGTCTAGGGTTTCGGCGTCGGTGAAGCTCTGGAGGAGGTCCTGGTGGCGCTCGAACTTGCGCTCGAAGTCGCTTTGGCGCTTGTCGACGTCCTCCATGGTGTCCTCGTCGGAGTCGTCGTCGGAGTCGGTGGGCTCCTCGTAGCGGCGGAGGTCGGGGGAATCCTTGAGCTTCTCCTTCTCGAGCTTCTCGATGAGGGGGCCCACGCCCATGTAGTCGTGCGAGGGCTCGGCGTCGATGTCGGCGGTGTCTAGGCCCAGGCGCAGCCGCTCGTTCCGCTCCCGGAGGCGGTCGCGCTCCACCTCGGCGAGGAGGTCCTGCACGATTCGCGCCTCGGAGGTGGCGGAGAAGAGAGCGTTACCGAGGAAACGGGAATGCGAATGGGAGGGCAATGGAGGCAAAGTTGGCGATGATTGCGATCTCGCGGAATTCGTGACCACACCGGTCGCGGTTTTGAATCTGAATATGTGTCTGAGACTGTGTCTTCCATAGCGGATGTAACCCATTCAGATTGACGCCTCTCTCTCTCTTTATCTGCGTTGGAACAATTGCAGCTCTGAGTTTGAGAAATGGAAGAATTCGTGGAAAGAAAAAGAGAGTGTGGAATCGGAGTTATAATTTGTTTAATGTACCTCAAAATGAAGAGGATGGCGCGTGGTGGAGTGTAACTTTTGGCGGCACCGAAATTCTCTTCTCTATGGAGTCTCTCCGGTCTCTAGCAGCGGGTTGCCTACAGAGGAAGAGGGTTAAGGTAAGGTACTGTGTTCAGGGTTTTTCTTTTTTTCTTTAATTATTATTTTTGTGTGTATTCTGGGATATTTAATTCATTTACGTATATTTATTTAGTGATAATGTCTAATGGTAACAAGTCCTCAAGAAAATATATAAAATAAATTACTAAATGATAAGTATTTCATATAGTGTACACTTATTTCTCTTATTCAATATGTATAATTAATTTGAATAAACAAGTAATATAATTAATTGAAACATTGTAAAAGAAAAGGGATTTTTAAAAATATTCGAAAGAGTGAATTACTTATACACAAAGAAATTTAATATAAAAGGATTTTTTAAGCAGTCAAAGTTATGATTTTAAGGAAAATAAAGAGGAATATCAATGTAAAACTAATATATATATATATATTTAAGACTTGACTAAGATCGATACGAGACAAATATGAAATATTTAATTTTTATCTAGCGTTATCTTTTTATGCCACATCATTTTATACTTGTTATTTTAGACAAATTTTAGATATAATTTTGTTTTTTTTTTGTGTTTTTTTTTTTAATTGGAATTGAAGCTTCATCTTAATAATATTTTAATAAAAATTTGCATATTTAATGTTTATGAGATATTAAAATTTATTTAAAAAATTCACTGTTATCATATATTTTTTCATAAAAAACAAATTACGGATAAAACTTCTAATTATATATCTAAGAGAAAAAATTATTTACTGATCATGTTACTACTCATATATAATATTTATTTATTTGTAAAAATCAAGCTTGATAAAAAAAATTTACAACACTTATCCAACCTATTCAACTATTTGAACTAAACATGATTTTCTAACCTTTTATATTTACACATATAATATTTTGGTTTAGTAAACACCCCTCAATCAATTAAGGTAGTATGTTGGTTAAATAGAAACTTTTTTTTCTTAATCGTGAATCTCTTTAATATTTAATTTTATGATTGTTTTTAATCCTTAACTTCATAAAACATTTACATTAATATTTAAGAGGAGTTAAGAAAGAAGTTTTTTCATACCCAACGATCATAATTTTTAAAAGTTATAAAATTTGAAAATCATAATTTTTAAGAATAATTAAAATTTATTTGATTACTCATAAAGATTTATAGGAATATTCATATAGGATTTTTGAAAATTAAATATTTTCATATTTGATTACATTATTATATTCTTGGAAATATAAATATTTTTTACTAAAATATCTTTTATTAAAATAAATTTATTAGATATATTTATTTACTCATATCTCATTACAAATATGATATTAAATTATTTTTAAAAAATTAAAAATTTATAATTAAAATTATTTAAATACAGAATTTAACAAAAAATAAATAAATAATATTTTATGATAATTAAGAAGGATAAAAATATACATTTCATTTTATTAAAATTAATTAATTAAAAAGTTTTAACAAATATATTAAATTATATAAACAAAATAGACTTTAATAATATTATTAAAATTAATAAAATCAAAAAATAATAAAATACAAGAGAGAGAAATAAATGAGAGAGAAAGAGAAATGAAAGGAGAAAGAGAGAAATAAAGAAGAAGGGACAAGGAGAGGAGGAGTGAGAGAGAGGGAGAGAGAAAGAAAAAAGGAGAGGGAGTGCCAGTAAGAGAGAGAGAGAGATTTTATTTTTTTTATTTATAAATATTATGCTCTTTTATATGCATTAAATTTGTCTCTTAAGTGGAAAAAGTTAAATTCCTGAAATTATATTCCTGAAATTCTCTTTTTTTTTTTTTAAATAGTTACCAAATATTAAAAAAAATTAAAATTCTCATTTTAAAATTTTCTAGATTGTTAAAACATTTTACGTATAAAACATTCTCTAATATCAACGAAAAATGTAACAAAAAAGACTAAAAATCTTTTTAACGAAGTCATGGAGCAAAATCAATTATTAAAATAATGGATACTAACAACAGGACGGTTATAAATTTACCTCACATATAGGTACTTTCACCATGCCATCTTTAAATACGACATATACGAGTGCGAAGGGTTATTCTGGTAGGTTACTTTCACCAACAATTCCAACAGCAGAGGCAATTAACTTTTACATGTTACAGTAAGCACCAGTTACGTGTAGTAGATATGATCGCTATCGAAGTTTAGTTAACCTAAGGCGCCCTTTTACGAGCCTAAGACAATTTAAGTGTCACTGCTGTTCAGCATGCTTTAGTTATCTGGTGTGCAGTTGTATGTTAGGGAAGTATAAACAGCGAGAGCATAAAGGATGAATGATAGATTTGATAAATTACAGAAATTGAAACAATATCTGATATCTCATTCTTCTCACTGTCGTATAAAGAGAAAATTGTTAAAAAAGATTTTACACGGGTGCTCTTTTCCGGCTACATCCTTGCATGGCATTTTGATTCTTCAGCTCATCCCCAGCCACAAAAAGAAATTTGCGGTGTGCCTGCTAAAAGTAAGGGTGTTGTGAACGCTCATGGAAAGTGAACATGTTCCATGAGGTGATACCTCGGAGGAGAGGGAAAAATCTTACATAGGTTATTTAAAATCAATGACAAAAGAACTTCGGAAGTATACAAGTGTTTCAATGAGAATATCATTACTGATTTTCGGGTGATAATAGCCATTTGTAAAAATCCAAACCAAACTTCATTAGAACAATAGTACAGGGCTGGGAGTATGCAAGCATGGTGTTGTGCAGTATCAAGCGTTGTTCTAAATGGTTTTCTTTATCCATTTTTCTTGTCACTAGCTTTAGGCCTTGTTGTAGGTACTTGGGCAAATGGCACACCATGGTATATAGATAAATTGAGAACCACATTAACTGGTAATCAAGCAAGTGTATCTGGAAACGCATATCTGCAATGATAAAAAAATTTACTATTGTGGATATTAAAAGCATTTCATTTGATTTTTAATAATATATAAGAGTTAATTTAAATTTTAAAGCCGATCCTCGGTTACTAAAAACATGAGATATTGGATGAATTAAAAACTTAAATCATTAGCTAAGATACATGGTGTCTCCTACAGTCGGCACCATAAAGGAGAACATAAAGCAACTCAAATCTATAGTCACTAAGATTCAAGATTGACATACCTGCTCTAACGACAGGATGTCATGTTTCTCAGAACTAGTGCTTGAGCCAGTAGTTACGAAGCTGTGCCATATGGAGAAGTATCTCATCACGACCCTGATTGGTGACACTACTGGTCATGATCCATGGAGGCACTGATTGGAAGAAACCTCGAATCAATTCCTGAAAATCATTGACATTTTCTTCTGGTCTTTTGCCTCCATTCTTTTTCTTCTTCCGCTTGTCACATTTAGTGAAGATCAATGTCATTGGGATCTGAAAGAAAAACTATATTAAAAAAAAAAAAAAACAAGTCTTATTACTAAAAATAAATTAACTCTCCTATGTTAACACAGCCTCAAAAGTCCCATATGGCTATGTTTGAGACGTGATCGACTTTATGATGTTCCATTTGAAGTAGAGTTAGACGCCCTCCCTGCTTAATGACACCTTTATTTAGGATCTATACATGAAGTGGTAATAGGTGTAAATGGGCAACTGTCGTTACTCTTTTCAACACATGACTAACATAAGAGATTGCGTGTGTGATAAAATTATTTGGATGGAAGAGAAATGCTGGCAACATACTATAATCACTGGGTAAAATTCAATTGGGAACCATTATATGATGTGCCATCCCCCTTCTAATTTTACCTAATAGTAAAATGCATTTGAAAAAAAAGAAAAGTCACGAGTGTATTGTTGACATTCCTCTTAAATAGAGAGACCCTGCTCTTGACAGCCTGGCATTTTGGAGTGGGCTCTTCTATAGAATCTTTAAATTTTCTTCAAAAAACCTCAGTTCATGACAACTATTAAGCTGTAAAAACAAATTTATGTTGCAGCTGTATTATTATTTGTCTTCATATGAAGATGAGTTGTTACTGAATAAAGAATTTTATTTGTCCTCCATGTAGAAGACCGAGTACTAGCTCAGCAAAACCACCACCCTTATATTTACTATTATTGAAAGATGCACTTCAGGCCTCTTAAAAAAATCAAATTAAAAACATTTCAGTGATTTCAGTTTCCATAACTGAGGTGTAATATTCTCAGTATCATAATTCTCAGATGCACATTATCCACAGGACATAAAGATGAAGAGGCGGTAACTCAGATATGCCAATCAATTATTATCTATAGGAATTCTACTCAGAAATATTTATTTTGTAGCTGCAACTAGACAGAAAAAGGTAGGAATACAAAATTGAGCCAGACTTCCACACAAGTTAAGCCATGACCATCAGATCAGGTAGTATAGGCAGGATTGGCAGTAAGCAAACATAAAGCATATAGCTTCATTAAATTAATTGCCAATGAAGAAACATTGATACGTTACCTGATTCTGACCCAACCAACTGGCATAATCAAGATCAATTTTTT